GGTCGCGGGGCCCAGCAGGCCTGCGGGCGCGGGCTTGGTCTGCGGGGAGACGGGGTGTCCCGGGGGACAGAGCAGAGGGCAAGAGGGGGCCTCGCGGCGTGGCCGGACCCGCCGGGCTGCCGATGCCCGAGAGGCCGCTGGGTTCCAGCCACCCGCTGGTTCGTGCCCGGGCGACCCTTGCGCCCCCCTGGGTCGCCGGTGACAGCAGCCGCTGGGGACCTCCTGCCGCCCTTTCGTCCCCCTTCTGCCTCCCTTTGGCCTGAGGCCTCGTCGTGGGTCGACACCCCGACCCGGGGGGCGCGGTCGCCCAGGGGTCAGGGGTCTCGGGCCCGTCCACGATGGGGCGCAAACACGGGCCCGTGGGAGGCCCCCGCTTGCCTCCGGCGTGTCCCCCGAGTCTCAGAACCTGGGAGGGACAGAGTCACTCTGGTGCCCGCGGCTTCCCGGCCTTCGGGACGGCCGCTGGGCAGCAGGGCGCCCAGGAGGGTGATGCCGATGCGGAGGGGCCAGGGCCCAGACTTGGAAATGGGGAACCCAGAGGAATCATCCCGGCCAGCCAGCCCTTGGGGTGGGATCGCAGCTCTTGGGGGGAAAAACGAGGCCTCGGCCGTGGTCCAGGGGCGAAGCAAGCATCCTGGCCGCTCGGGCCAGGCGTTGGCATGAGGGCAGAATTCATAATTAAGGGAGGAATTCCCAAGGGGACAGACTGGAAGAGCCCGTGGTTCTGCCACTGTTCACCAGGAGGTGCTTTTTTCAGAGCTCCACCTGGGTGGTGTTTTAAGAAAGGAAAGGAGTTCCTTGACAAGCTCAGCTTCTACTACCGATCTGGCCTTGAGGACTGGAGGCCAGCAGGCCGCCGCTCTGCGTAGTCCGGTCCAGTGTGATCTCAGCATGTTCCTAGACCTCCAGTGTCTAAGAATGCAGAGGTGTAAGCCAAAGCAGGGGGGAGCTTTTGTGAAATGGCACGGGCAAGGCTCGAAGGGCTGGAGAGGAGACTTTGCAGGCGGTTTTGAATCAGGGACTCACCCGAGGCATCGTTAGCACGGAAAGGAGATGAGGTGAGGGGGGAAAAAAGCGACATTTTCAATGCAGCCTCCTGGGGGTCTCGCTTAAGACTGCGGTGCCTTCCCGTCGTGCCCTAGGGCAGGGCTCTGTCACCTGGGCCTGGGACTGTCCAATATGCGAGGTAAAGCAGCTGTCAGCCGGGGTGGGGAGAGGAACGGTGATCTTAGAAATAAGTTGTCACCTGACCCATGTGAGAAACCGAGTCTTGGCCAGGGCCATGTGCCAAAGGACAGCTCCAGGCTGAGAATCCTGGATGGCCCTAGCCCTGGATCGTACCATCTTAAGAAATAACCTCTCCGGTTTACAGAGTCGGCGAGATTGAAGCTGCAGGGAGATGGACAGTGAGGTGCAGAGAGATGGAAGGATCTTGGATTTGATTGATGACGCTTGGCGAGAAGACAAGCTGCCTTACGAGGATGTGGCAATACCACTGGTAGGTGTGGTCTGAGCTGAAACGATGGGCTCACGGTGTGATCTGGCAGTGACCCGTGGTGGTCATAAACTAGTATGGCAAAGAAATCTGCCTCTGGAGTTCTCTAACTCTGGAAGCCTCTGCAGAGCAGCTAACCCAACTCCCTGTTGGAAGAAAAAAGTGGTTCAGAGAGCTGACACCGCCAACTCAGTGAGGGATCGTGCCAGAACTGAGCCCAGATTCTCTAAGCCTTATTCCGTTCACCACTCCAAAGCCAGAGAGAAATCAGATAACGAGAGTTTAGTGAGAGAAACGGGGAGACACAAGAAGCCGCAGCATTTAAGCTCTGTGTCCTCCTCCCCTGTCTGGGGCTCATTAACCTATTGACATTTTTCGAAACTCACATTCTTGGAACACACACCCATCCTGGGTTGCCTGGAAGATATCCAGAAGATACCTGAGTTGTCCTCTTTTGCGTTTGGCCAATAAGTTCGTAGAATACTCTCGTCTCCAGAAAACTCCCCTGCAAATCTCATATAATAAGTGATCTAAAAAGTTTGCTTGTAAAAATCCTATTTAGGCCAGGTGCTGTGCCTCACATCTGTAATCCCAGCACTCTGGGAGGCTGAAGCGGGTGGACTGCTTAAGTTCAGGAATTTGAGACCAGCCCGGGCAACATCGCAAGACTTCATCTCTACAAAAAATATTTTAAAAGTAGCCGAGCATGGTGGCCTGCCCCAGTAGTCGCAGCTACTCAGGCAGCTGATGCCGAAGGATCACCTGAGCCCAGGAGGTCGAAGCTGTGTTGAACAGCAGTCATGCCACTGCACTCCAACCTGGGCAAACAGAGGAAGACTCTGCCTCAAAAAAAAAATTCCTATTCATGTCATAGAGGCCTAACAAAAGGACAGCAGAGCATGGGGACTGTTTTTCTTTAAAGTGTACCAGCTGCCTTGAGAAATAGAATGAGCCCGAAGAGGTTTTGCTGCTGCTGTTTATAGAGAAATAAAATAGTTCACCCACATTTTCATTTAAGAGTAAGAGATAGTAATATGCTCAGTGAGTAATATACGTACCAAATAACAAGTCACAGCTTAGTTCAAGTTTAGGAAAATCACCAAAAGAGAAAGCATAATAATCATCATAGCTGCCAGTCGTTGAATACCAGTTTTTTGCCATGGACCGAGGCTGAAGGCATACATTATACTCTAATCCTTAAAACAGCCCTGTGAGGAAGGTAGAATTACTCCCGTTTTAGAGAAAAGAGGAGGATCAGAGAGGGTAACTTGCCCAAAGCCTGGGAGCTATGAAGTTGGACTTCATGCCTAGGGCTGAGAAGCTCCATGTTCTGTCTTCTGAGCTTTTGTTCATCCACTCAGCAAGCGTTTTCTTAAAGCCTACTGCGTGCCATGAGACTTGGGGAACGTGAGATGCAGTTCCTGCCCCTGGGGCAGCTGGGGAGGCAGCACATATAAATAAATGATTGTGGTAGTAAGAATTCTGCATGGGGCGTAAGCAGCCATGTTGTGTAAGAAGCAGCTGATTGCTTGTTGGGCATCGGAAAGGCTTCCGAGAGAATGAAATGTCCAAGCTGGGTTCTCAGGAAGGACTGGCAGTTCAGTGGGGTCAGACGAGGGCACTGCAACAGAAGGGAGGGATGTGTCGAGGCCCAGAGTTTAGAAGGGGTTTAGGGGATGATGAGACAGCCAATGTGAATGGAGAGTACATTGTGGGTCACATAAGGAGGCCAAGAAGTTGGACTTGGAGCAGATTTTTAATTTTATTTTTTGAGTCAGAGTCTCACTCTGTCGCCCAGGCTAGAGTGCAGTGGCACACTCACGGCCACCACAGCCTCAACCTGCTGGGCTCAG